ACAGGCGGTAGGCAGAAAAAGTCCGAAAATGTCAGATCAAGTTCAGGGGTCCGAATGTTCTCGCAAAAATTCTCAAATGTGAAAATGACCAAAGTCAGCACTTCCTTTTATAGGCAAAATGAGAAGGCGGAGGGTCGCTTCCGAATTCAAATTTGGGCGGAAGAATCTCCCGGCCGTCTGCAAGGTGACACCTGTAACGGGCCGTCGCCTGTCACCGTGCGACACCTGTCACAGGCGACACGTGACCAGTCGCGTGCCACCTGTGAGGGGCAAATGATTAGGGGATTTTTATCCACCAAGCGCCGTTTGACAAGTGGACCAACCAGGTTCCGCCACGCGTCCTCCACGGACCACTTAAGACACGCCACGTGTCCACCCATGCCAAATGGGACAACCGGCCATCAAGGCCCATTTCAGTCTAGAAGCCCGATCGGCCCTAGGTTTACCTTAAACCTAGAGAGTTGCACGCTTCCCAAGGCTATAAATACTCGATTAATCCTCATTAATCAAGGGACCGAATAATTAACGGAACGGAGGAGAAACATTACGGAACACACTAATAACCGGCTGATCTCGCTAGCAAAGCAGATTACCTACATTAAATACTCTCACCTAGAGAGACCTTATTACTTTAATTTCTGTATTAATTACTCCTTAATCAGGTACTAACTTGACCGTTGGAGGCGGAGCTCTCAGGAGTCTCCGTTATTTTGCAGGTACAGGCGTCCGGTTCCAGTCTCGGAATTGTAGCTCTCCCGCAGGACATCAGAAAACCCCGAAACACTAAGTGGGTGGCCTTTTCAGCCAAGGCTCGTCCTCCAATGTGGGAACCGCAATGCCCCTGGTGGAGGTCGTCCAACACATCATTCCCCCTCTTAGGGGTAATACACTTCAGATAAGGCTTCACAAAAGCTTTCTTAAATAACTCCCCCTTCTTCATCTCGAAATAGGATGCTCTCTTTTTCATCAACCGGCTCTCTTTCGCATCGGCCGGGAGCAATCCATCCCTAAGGTAGGAAATGATTCCATCCATCCAAGTTGAGCTTCTATCAATGATCTGTACTGGCTCGACATCAATACTCCTCTTTTCCTTTACTTCCTAAAACATTGATCTGGGAGTATCATATGATGCCGAGGATGCTAATTTTGAGAGGGCATCCGCTTGATGATTGGACGAACGGGGGACTTGTTTCAGGGTAAAGTTCTCTAGGACCTTGGCTTCTTCTTTTACCATTTGCAAGTATTTCATTATGGCCGGCTCCTTGGCTTTAAAGTCACAATTAACTTGGTTGACTATAAGCTGGGAATCCGAGCTCACATCAACTTTAGTTTCCCTTGCCGCCTTACACATTCTAAGGCCGGCCAACAACACTTCATACTCGGCCTCATTATTGGAGGCTTGGAACTAAAATCTCATTGCATATTCAAACTTATATCCCTCCGGAGATTGACAGATAATCCCGGCGCCGCACTCGGCCGCTGTTGCACTACCATCTACATATACTTTCCAGATCTGGTCTCCAGCGGGTTGTAAATTTGGCCGTGTCATCTCAGCCAAAAAAACAGCAAAGGCCTGTTGTAGACGTCGTTCGAAGTGCGCCTACGTTAAGCATGTGGTGAATATGCTTGACACTCATAGGAAGTGGGAATTGACGTATACGATTAGGGACAAGTAAAGTAGGGAGCCGTCAACAAGTTTTTAAGGAACTTGTAAACTGTTCACAGATCATAAAAGGCAACCACGATAAAGGGATAACGAAGGCAACAACGATTGACCCGTGAAGGTTACACCCCATTCATAATCCATGAGATTACTAACTCCATATGGTTCGGAACCACGAAAGCAGGATCGGGGATGATGGTACGAAGTGAGTCATGGAGTCACATTCGCCCGTATTGGCCTCTACTCGATTCTTATAGTGAAAAATGATTCCTACGATCTCAAAGGCATACAAACAGAATATTCAATTTGCTCCAAACTATTATTAAGCTAAATTGGTTTAATATTAATGCAACATATAATTCTAAAATATTTGTGATCACTTGAATTAATTAACAAGATTAAAAAGGAACCTAAACCGGTTGTCCAAATTATCTTATTAGGCGTGATTTTCAATTACATATTCCCTTTAGACATGCAATATGGTGATCATAGAAACATAATTCTTACTTTGATTCTGTTTGTTTGCAACTACAAAATAATAAACTAGTTAGTAACTTCAAGGAAATAATAATAAAACAATAATTAAATTAAATTAAATTAAATAGAATTGATTTGGGGCCAAACCCTCAAACAGTTCTACCTTTCACGCCTTGGCTTAAGGACAGAACCACGAGTAAAGTATGGACTCCTTGGAGTACTTGAAGAAGGAATTTTGAAAGAATAAGGGTAGGCTAGTGTTTAGTCTAGAGAATAGAAGAGAGGAAAATAGAGAATTAATTGATGCCCCGTACATCAGAAATGAGGGGGTATATATAGAAAAAATGTGCTGAGGGAACACACGGAACCCTAAAATGATAAAACCCTAAAAAAGTATCCCGCGACACGGCAAACTGTACCGCGACACGGGAAATCCCACTGTTATACGGGAAACATTCCCGTGACACGGTGCAAATTTTGTGTGACGTGGGAAATTTTTAGTAAACGGGGGAGAAAACACGTTAAGGGTTTACGCGGAAAGGACACGGAAATTCCCGTGTCACAGTAGGTTTCCCGTGTCACGGGAAATCCCACCGTAATACGGGATAGTTTCCCGTGACGCGGTGGATAGCTGCCGTGGCGCGGGAATTTTCAGTCCGCTTTTCCGTCTAAATTCATTTCTAACCCTAATTACGTTCAGCATTTTAAGTGCCGATTGATAATTTCGGGCCTTTTTCTGATTTATTGTTATTTGGGCTAAAATAAGAAAATAAGTAAATAAAATAAATAAAAGGTTTGGGCCAAAAATAAATAATAAAACAATAAAATAAAAAAAGGTTTGGGCTAATAAGTTTGGGATGAAATTAAAACTATGCTTTTACCAAACATCAAGACTAATCCATGGACTATTCAAAAATACGAATTTAATCAAATACGATTTTTTAAGCACTCTCGGGATTAAATACTGAACCCGACCAATAGTGGCGGCGAAAGATTGTTCATCATCGGGTTTGGTTTTAGGGAGACATTTTTAGGTGTCTACACCTGCCCCTTTATAGCTTTTCTGGGCTCGAACGTGATGTTAAAGCCTCTCAGCTCTAAAGCTCATTTAAGCATGCGGCCACTAGCTTCTAAAGTAGCAAACGACTTCTTGAGTGGTTGATCTGTGTAGACCACAATTGAATGTGCCAGGAAGTATGGCCACAGCTTCTTTGATACCATGTACAATGTTAGACCAAACTTTTTAGCCGGGGGATACCCTAGCTCGTCGTTGTGTAGCACATGACTGATAAAATAGGCTGGGATCTGGTGTCCGTCCTTTTCAGCAAGGAGGACGACACTTGAAGAGTGTTCAGAGATGGCGAGATAAATGTACAACTTCTCATCCTTGAGTGGACTAACGAGCTGAGGCAATGTATGCAGATGACTTTAACTGTACGAATTCTTCCTTAGCTTCTTCCGTCAACTCAAACATGGCTTTCATATTGATAATCTGAAAAAAGTATCGGCATTTGTCCCCTAATCTTGACAGAAATCGGCCAAGTGCTACTAAACAGCATGATATGAAATAACCAACAAAACCCAAGAAAAGGGGAGGAGAAATCAAATAATAACAAGTTCAAACCAACAAAATAAGGCAAACCTATCTCAAAATCACCAAGATAATGAAAATAGGGGTCTTAATCAAAGCCAACACCAAGTAAAGCTAGAATTAAGGTGTAACCACAAAGATTATAAGCTAGCAATCACAAAGAAAGCAAGATAATCACAAAGATTATGGTAGAGAGAGAAAGTCCCTTTGATTACAAAATCAAGCAAAGTTTAACATTAATTAAGAAGAAAAACGTCTTAAAACAACTTAAATAGTTTGCACAAACAGAAAAGAAAACGGGAAAAGGTTCGGCCGAACTAAGGGTATGTTTGGTCGAACTTGTGGGTAGGTTCGGTCAAACTTTCGTGCTCCTGGTTCGATCGAACCTATAGAGTTTGACCACTACTGCAAAACTGATAAAATCGGGTTGGAAACTGACAAAATGGTTCGGTCGGACTTCCTAGGTTCGGCTAAACCTCTTCAAATCTTCTTGTCTTCAAGTGTGATGATGGTTAGTCCCGAGAGGTGACCTCCAAGGAGCTTGGCCCGACTTCGTGTCACGACACGTGGAAAGTCTTCCACTTCTTCCACTAAGTTCCATGCACCCGCGTCAAACCCCTCATCTTCAAAAGGAATTGCCCTCAATTCCGGCTCATCATCACCAATATCATCTTCAAAAAGGAAAGGAGCAAGATCACCAACACTAAAGGTAGCATGAACACCAAAGTCTCCCGGTAGTTTAAGCTTGTAAGCATTAGGTCCAACTTTCTCCACAACTTCAAAGGGGCCTTCGGATCTTGGCATGAGCTTGTTCTTTCTCTTAGCCGGGAATCTTTCCTTCCGAGGATGGAGCCACACAAGATCACCTACATTGAATTCCCTTGGCTTCTTGAATTTGTTTTCCCTTGCCTTGTAACTCTCATTCGCCTTCTCAATTCTCTTCTTGACATCTTCATGAAGCTTTTTCATCGTTTTAACTCTATCTTTCACCTCAAAGCTTAACTCCTCTTGAGGGATACTAGGAAACAAGTCAAGTGGTAGGCAGGGATTGAAGCCATACACTACTTCAAATGGTGTTTTCCCGGTAGCTATGCAATGAGAGCGGTTGTAAGCAAATTCAACTTGAGGTAGCTTAAGATCCCAATCTTTCATGTGTTTGGTAATGATAGCTTGGAGAACGGTGGACATGGTATGATTAGTTACCTCGGTTTGGCCATCGGTTTGAGGGTGACTAGAGGTACTAAACAAGAGCTTGGTTCCCACTAACTTCTAAAAAGTCTTCCAAAAGTAGCTCAAGAACTTAGGATCACGGTCCGACACAATACTTTTTGGAATGCTATGAAGCTTCACCACTTCTCTAAAGAACAAGGTAGCCACATGAGAGGCGTCATCGGTCTTGTGGCAAGGAATGAAGTGAGCCATCTTTCTAAAACGATCAACCACAACAAACACGAAATCATTTTGCCTTTGAGTGCGAGGGAGAGCAACCACAAAATCCATACTAAGATCATCCCAAGGGTGATTAGGGACCGGAAGAGGAGAGTAGAGTCCTTCACAGAATTGACTCTTAGCCTTGTGACAAGCCCCATAACGAGGTATCACATCTTGCACATCACCAAATATCTTGGGACAATAAAAATGCTCTCGAAGAATGTCATATGTTTTTGCAACCCCAAAGTGTCCGGCTAGACCTCCTTGATGAGCTTCCTTAACAAACATCCGTCGATGAGAGCATTTCGGAACACAAAGCTTGTTTCCCTTGAAAAGGAAACCCTCTTGCCCTATGAAAGAGCCATCGACCCCTTCCTCACACTTCTTCATCAACCCACCAAAATCCTCATCATTGCGATACAACTCTTTCAGCAACTCAAACCTTAAAAACTTCGCATCAAGAATAGTGATCATACAATGCCTCCTAGAGCATCGAAAAAAACATTGCTCTTCCCTTCCTTGTACTTAGAAGAGAAAGTGAATGATTGGAGGAATTCAACCCATTTGGCATGCCTTGCATTGAGTTTATGAGAACATTGATTTACTTGAGAGCTTCATGATCGGAGTGTAGTACAAATGGTCCAGGCCTCAAGTAATGTGACCAATGATCAAGAGCCCTCACAATAGCATAGAATTCCTTGTCATGGGTACTATACCTCATTCTTGCTCCACCAAGCCTCTCACTAAAATAGGCAACCAACCTCCCTCCTTCACAAGAACCGCTCCAACTCCAACCCCACTAGCATCACATTCAACTTCAAAGGGTTGATAAAAATTCGGAAGAGCTAAGATTGGAGCCTCACACAACTTCTTCTTGAGGGTCTCAAAAGCCCTTTGAGCCGATGGTGTCCACTTAAAAGTACCCTTCTTCATGCATTCGGTCACCGGGGCCAAAATAGTGCTAAAATTCTTCACAAACCTTCGATAGAAGGAAGCTAAACCATGTAACTCCTAACTTGAGTGAGAGTAGTAGGAGTAGGCCAAGATTGAATGGCCTCCACTTTACTAGGGTCCATTGAGATCCCTACATTCGAAATCACATAACCAACAAAAACAATACTATCCACCATAAAAGTACACTTTTCCAACTTGGAAAAAAGCCTCCTACTTCTCAATATCTCAAATACTTGCCTCAAATGTTAAACATGATAAAGTTCACATTTGCTATAAACAAGTATGTCATCAAAATAAACAACAACAAATTTACCAATGAAGGGGCAAAGTACCTCATTCATGAGCCTCATGAAAGTGCTAGGAGCATTAGAGAGCCCAAATGGCATAACTAGCCACTCATACAAGCCTTGATTTTCCTTGAAAGCGGTCTTCCACTCATCTCCTTCACGCATATGAATTTGATGGTACCCCATCCTCAAGTCAATCTTCAAAAACACCTTGGAACCATATAACTCATCAAGCATATCATCAAGTCGGGGAATAGGGAAGCGGTACTTGATGGTGATGTTATTGATGACCCTACTATCCACACACATCCTCCATGTACCATCCTTTTTCGGAACCAAAAGAGCCGGAACCGAACAAGGGCTAAGGGATTCCCTCACAAATCCTCTTTCAATCAACTCACCAACTTGTCTTTGAATCTCTCTTGCTTCATCGGGGGTACACCTATAAGCCGGTCCATTAGGGAGTTGTGATCCGAGAATAAGATCGATTTGATGCTCAGTCCCCTAATAGGTGGAAAACCGGGGGGGGGGAGATCATCGGGAAAAACATCATGGTACTCAACCAATACTTCCTTGACAAGGGGGTGGATTGGGTTCTCTCGCTCACTCTCTTGTGTTTCCCAATGAAGACAAATAAAGACAAGGTGTCCTTGATTTATCTCCTTTCCCATCTCATTTTCCCCAATGAGAAGGTTCTCTTTTATTGTGTTTTCCGTACCCAAGGGTTCTTTGTGTTTGATGGTGGGGGACAAGGGGCCGGGTTTAGTACAATATTCTTCTTATCCATCATGAATGAATAAGTTTTCTTTCTTCTGTCATGCATTACATCTCTATTTCCAAGGTCTACCAAGCAATACATGACAAGCATCCATAGGCAATACATCACAAAGTACCTCATCCTTATATAGCTTGCCAATTGAGAAAGAAAGAAGAGTTTGTTTCGTTACCTTCACCTCATTGTGATTGTTAAGCCATTGAAGCTTGTAAGGAGTAGGATGATCAGTAGTTTCAAGATTGATCTTGCTCACCAATGTTGTTGAAGCGACATTAGTGCAAGAGCCACTATCAATGATAAGGTTGCAAACTCGATCCTTGATGGTACAACGAGTTTGGAAGATGTTTTCCCTTTGCTCTTCCGCCAAAGGGGTAGAAATGGAGTGAAGTGCCCTCCTCACAACAAGGATTTGACCCTCATCGGCTTCAACTAGAATCTCATCCTCTTCATCATATATAGGGTCTCCAAAATCCCTCTTCTCATCTTCGTAATCATCATCATCCATTTCACGAATCATCATAGCTCTACTATTTGGACACTCATTAGCAAAATGTCCATAACCTCTACACTTGTAGCAAGTCTCTCGATTGCTCATTTGATTGTGGTTATCTTTGCTAGAAGAGTACATGGGAGCCTTGCTTTTGTCATCCTTGGCAATGGGCTTGCTTGTCTCACCCTTTGGAGCAAAATAACTCTTGAAGGTAGGCTTAGTATACCCACTAGCACTACTCACCTTTTCATACTTCTCAAACTTCAAAGCTTTTTCCACCACTTGATCAAAACTTCCATGGGCATGCACATCAACTTTTTTCCCAAGATTTCTATCTTGAAACATGGGTGATAGATACTATAATGAAGATGATGAAGGTTACAATGTGATACCAAATGATATGAAATAACCAACAAAACCCAAGAAAAAGGGAAGAGAAATCAAGTAACAACAAGTTCAAACCAACAAAATAACGCAAACCTATCTCAAAATCACCAAGATAATGAAAATAGGGGTCATAATCAAAGCCAACACCAAGTAAAGCTAGGATTAAGGTGTAACCACAAAGATTACAAGGTAGAAATCACAAAGAAATCAATATAATCACAAAGATTATGGTAGAGAGAGAAAGTCTCTTTGATTAAAAAATCAAGTAAAGTTCAACATTAATTAAGAAGCAAAACGTCTTAAAACAACTTAAATAGTTTGCACAAATTGACAAGAAAACGGGAAAAGGTTCGGCCGAACTAAGGGTAAGTTCGGTCGAACTTGTGGGTAGGTTTGACCGAACTAAGGGTAGGTTTGGTCGAACTGTCCTGCTTCTGGTTCGGTCGAACCTTTGGAGTTCGACCACTGCTGCAAAACTGACAAAATCGGGTTGGAAACTGACAAAATGGTTCGGTCGGACTTCCTAGGTTCGGAAGAACCTCTTCAAATCTTCTTGTCTTCAAGTGTGATGATGGTTAGTCCCGAGAGGTGACCTCCAAGCAGCTTGGCTCAACTTTGTGTCACGACACGTTGCAAGTCTTCCACTTCTTCCACTAAGTTCCATGCACCTGCGTCACATCCGATTAATCTTTGCACCTCCTTAATTGTTCTTGGAGACTTCATGTCCAAGACGACTTGAATTTTTTCAGGGTTAGCTTCAATTCCACGTTGATCAATAAAAAATCCGAGAAATTTACCGGACTCAACACCAAAGACACATTGCTACGGTTTTAACATCATCTTATGCCGCCTGAGTTCAGTAAATGTTTCTCGAAGATCATTATGATGGTCGGCCGATTCCTTTGACTTGACAATTATGTCATCAATGTATGCCTCCATATTCCGGCCGAGTTGATCTCTAAAGACTGTATTGACTAGCCGTTGAAATGTAGCAGGGGCATTCTTGAGGCCGAATGGCATAACTCTGTAACAGTACAATCCCTGCTCGGTCACAAATGCCGTCTTCTCTTGATCTTCTTCACATAGAGGAATTTGATGGAATCCGGAGTATGCGTCCATGAAGCTCATTAGGGCATGCTCGACCGTGGAATCAACTAGGCGGTCGATTTAGGCAAAGGAGAGCTATCCTTAGGGCATGCCTTGTTCAAATCTGTATAGTCCACACACATCCTCCAAGTCCCATTCGGCTTTTTCACAAGAACTACGTTTGCTACCCAATCTGGGTAGTAGCATTGTCGAATGAAGCCAGCGTCCAGCAACTTTTTCACTTCAGTTGCGGCCACCTAATTCCTCTCTTCTCCATGGTTTCTTTTCTTTTAGCGGACAATTTTAATGACTGGGTTTACATCCAGCTTGTGCACGGCCAGGTTAGGGCTTATGTCTGGCATTTCACTAACTTTGAACGCAAACACATCTTTAAATTCGCTCAATAGTTGAACTAACTCATCTCCAAGAAGACCCATAGCTATAGTGCCTACACTGACCGTCCGACCTAGTTGATCGAGGTCGAGCACTACATCTTAGTGATCGCCGGCCGGCTGAGGTCTCAACTCTTCAAGCCGACCGACGGTCATTAATTGCTATGATTGGTCGCCCATGGCCTGCTTTTGATTTTAGCCGACCTAGTATGCTTGGAGTGTGGGTTCTTCCCCTTTTGACTCGGACGTCTTTCCATGTCCATGAATGGTTGGCTTAACAGCTAGCTTATTACATTCTTTTGCCATTTTTTGACTTCCTTGAATCAAACCAATTTTTTCTTCCAATCGTTCAAACTTCAACAACATCAGATGAGGGACGATCACAGCCTTTGCAGCGTTGAGGGTGGGACGACCGAGTATGAAATTATAGCCAGTAAATTCTTTCACCACTAAAAATCGGACGACCATATCCCTTCCTTCCCCTTTCTGCCCAAATCGGACTGGCAAATCAATCTGTTCGATTGGGTGAATGATGCTTCCCCCAAATCCCACTAATGCATGAGTAATGTCTTTCAGAGCATCTTCTGGGAACTTTAAATTCTTCAAGGCGTCAAGGCTGATGATATCGGACGAGCTGCCCGTATCTATCAGTATTCGGCCCACTTTCAAGTTGGATATCTTCATAATGAACACCATAGGATCGTTGAGTAGGGCTTTAACCTTCCCTTGGTCGGCCTCACTAACGATTACATCGGGGACGAGTTTGGCCTTCACTTAGTCTTCCTGCATCACCTTTCCCAAGTTCCAGGCGTTTTGCTTGATTCCCTTCATGGTGGAGCCGCCTGAGGCGAATCCCCCTGATATTACGACCACAAAGCTTAAATCGGTACTATTCCCATCATCTTCCTTGTCATTTTTCTTTTTCTTTTCGGACGTATTGTCTGTCCATGTATAAGTGAACTTGGATTTCATCACATAAGAGTTCAGCATGCCCTTCTCGACTAGTTTGTCCAACAGTCTCTTTAGATTGATACAATTGTTTGTGTCATGCCCCACATTCTTATAGTAGTGGCAGTACTTATTTTTATTCCTTTACTGGGTCGAGCCTCTTAACGGTCGGGGCTTTTCAAACTTGAACTTATCCTTTATTTCCATCAAGATAGAGTAACAATCCTTGTTAAACTCGTATTGGGGCTCGTACGTCTTGACTTTCTTTGATTTTGGTTGTTGGCCGTTGGCCACCCAAACTTCTTTCCTTTTGTTCCCTCCTTCTTTTTACCTATCGAGTCTTGCTGAGTAGATTGTTTCTTCTCAACCCCCTTGCCCGACGCCTCTGCTTTTGTAAGCGAACAAAAGTCGGCTGCTTTAATGTAAGCCTCGGCTTCCCGCAGAACACCTGCGTATGTCCGAACCTTTTTAACTTAAACCATTATGCCTTAATCCTCGGAGAAATTTAGAGTAAGCCATTTCATCCGGCAGATTATGAATATAGGCTTTTTCTTGGTTAAATCTTTGGACGTACAAATGTAGGCCCTCATTTTTTCCTTGCACAATTGTTGCCGAATTGAGACTTGTCTTTCGAGGTGGTATGTTGTAAGAGAAATTCCCCATGAACAACAAACTAAGTGTGGTAAAGCAATTGATACACCCGGCCGGAAGGCTATTCAACCAATCCTGCGCTACACCCTAGCTTCAAAGTGGCCGGGAAGTATTTACACCAGGTAGCATCATTTACGCTTTGTAAGTACATCAGGTTTTTGTGTGATGTGTTCCTCGGGGTTGCCCGTAACATCATAGACGCCCACAAGTACACTCTTTGTTGGGGTTTGGTGAGTCCGACTCACCGCGGAAACAACCCCGACCCAAAGAACCACTCCCAATTAATAAAACCATAAAGCATAACAAATAAACATTAAAGGATAAAATCGGAATTTACCTTTGAAGCGTGCTTCGCCCTCAAAGTCGGGCTCTTACTTGAAAGCTTAAGCTCCGAAAATACGCGAGCCTCCTACGAAAATCCACCCGCAAAAACTACTAACGACTTTTAGGTCCGTTACCTTGAGGTTAGCGAGGTCCGACCAAAACCCGAGTATTATATGAGTTTACGAGTTTTTGCTAATGCAATGCTCTATTGAACTCCTACTAAAGAAAGAAATTCTCATGCCATGCTTTGGCTATTTATAAGGAAGGATAGCTTGTGAATTCCACTCATCTTTCAATGTGGGACTTTTCACAAAAAGATCCCACATGGAAAGATTGATGAATTTAATCCTTAGTTAAATAAACCAAGGAACAAGTAACAAGTGTCACATGGTTAGGTGAGGACCACTTTCCCACTTGGTCCCCAAGGCATTTCACATGCAATGTGAACTAACCATGTGTCACCTAACCTTCAGCCCCAAGTTGGGTTTGGTTGGGCAATTTTATTTTGGCCCGTGTCCATGATCCATTGCCCCGGGTCAACGGCCCTTTCCACATGTGTCACCACAGTGGCACGCTCCCTACGTGGCACGATGCCACTTGGTGGCTGCCAACGTGGCGTCTGCCACTTGGCGGCTGCCAACATGGCTGCCACGTGTCCTGCCACATGGCGTTTTGCCATGTGTGCTGCCACGTGGCACGCTCCTATTGGGCGCATTTTTCTAGGTTTTCGAGTGGCTAGGATTTTACTTGTTACTTAAAGCATTTTCCCGTCTACCCAAACCCTAAATTTAGGCTCGACATTTGAGATTCTCCTACGCTCAAAGCTCGAATTACCGACGTCTAAATATTTAATACTCGGGCGACGAATTAATTTCTTCTAAATTAATTCGTCGAGTCGGTTCGTTTACTACTAAGAGTGTGACCCAAAGGTTTCAGTCAAGATTAAGCTGTAATATTAATTATGCATTCATATTACTGATCGGAAGCGGCCTCCACCTAGGCATTCCGATCACTTGACCTTACTTAATATATTAGCTTTCTAATAATTCTGAACCCACTAACGGAATAGTACACTTGTTCGAAGGACACCATTCCTTTCACTCTTCAACTTCGGCGGTTGAGGAGAAGTTAAATTTCTTGCGAAAAACGGAGGCGACTTATCTCCAACAGTCAGCAAGCGCATCTGCCAATCAATTGGCTGGGGTTGCACGGACTGTCCGGCCAAATAGGGAGCCTGGCTGAACGTCTGTTCGTATTGCCCATATTATCCGAAGACCTGGGGACTCGGCTATAGAATGCCGTTGAAACCTTGGGGGGCTGATGTGGTTGTACTAGAATGGGGTTTGGAGTACGAACGGCTTGAATCCTGCTGGAGATGGCCGAGTTGTTATGCTGGGAAAGAGAGTGGTTAGAGAATTCATCCGGCATTGTGGGAGTGGAGGCTGTATCCGAGTAAGCGGCACGTTCCCGTTGTTTATGCCAAAGGTAGTCTCTTGTGTCCTTACAACGTCGAGACGGCTTGGTCTCCTCTCTTCGAGGCTGTCTGCCCCTCCCCCAGCCGACTGGGTT